CAGCAAAAGGGCAAAGCTCGGATGGAAATCGGCGAAAGGATTGCCAAGTGGGAGGAAGTGGGCGCGAGCGCGAGCGCGTGCGCGCGTCCTCGCTGGCTTTCGGTTTACCATCTAAAAATATCACGGGGTGCGGTCGAGGTGTAACCCGTAAGGTCGCGAGTTCGATTCCCTCCGAGGGAAAATACACCGCTATTTCTAGAATCTCCGGTCGAACGTTCGAGTCGGTCGCGGTCCAAACACCTAGCCTGCCTCTCGATTCCACGGCACCCTCGCCTCGTCCGCGCAGATTTTCGGGGAGAGGAATCGAGAGGGAAGGCAGAACGGGGTGGCGAGTCGTTACTAGGACGAACTCGAGGGGCTGCCGGCGGAACTTTACGGGTTGTAGAAGCGCAACGGGTCCGCCGTAACGAGAATTAGCTTCGGATTAAGCGACTACGGGGCTTCGAAGCGGTTATCGGCTGGAACGCGATAAGTCTCGCGCGCGTTAATCGGTTCACCCACCCACCCACCCAGTCAGTCCAAGGCGAAGTAAAAGCAGCCTCCTCTGCGTCGGGTGAGATGGTTAAATAAAAGCGCAGCTGCCGTCCACCGCGAGTACAATGGATAGCCCTGTTTCGGAGCTCTTTCAGCGGCATCGTGGCACGTTTTTTCGGGCGAGTGAGGACGATCGTAAAGCGCCACGTGTTTGAAAAGTAGGTCATTCAGCTGGGAATCGGAGGAGCACGCGAACGAATTTTCGACGACAAGACGGCGTTCGGTTACGCGCCGCTTATCGCGCCATGGGGCGAGCCTGCGTGCAGAGGGGAAGCGGAACCAGATTTCTCCTCTCTTATCGATCTGGCACGTCGCGGCACGTCGCGGCACGTCACTGCAAGTTCGTGATCGCGATAGTAGGTTTTTCCGTCGTCGCGTGGCCGCTGCGACGCGTCAGTTCGCGCGCGACGAGGGACGGGGCGGCTCGCTTGGTTTGAGAATTCGCGCCAGTTATATTTATCCGATCGCGCAGCGGTCGTCGAAAAGACGGTGGGGGACGCGCGGAAAGACGAGCGACAAAGAAGGAAGAGGAGTTTCCCCGTGCGTCACCGTGCTCGCTCGCTCCGTTTTGTTTGCTGGACCGGGTGGATTTTTCCTCTGGGATTTTCGCGGTACGGTCGCGCGGCTTATCCGGGCGAACGCAGGTAGTAGCGGCAAACGTCCGAACGAATAACTCGAATGCCGCGCCGTTCCTCCCGTCCTTAGAAAAGATGGATCCTTTCTTTCGATCCTCGGATCTCGATCCCCGGGTTCTTTTCACAGGACGTTGAAAACCTCGGTGAGATGAGCGAGTGAGCGTAGCACGGAACGGTGCGCGCTTTGAATAGACCGTCTCGCGAGGGTCTCGAGTTTCAATGGCCGTGCCATGTCCGATTTCGTGACAACCGAAAGACGTCGAAGAAGAATAGGAGAGCGGGAGCCGTCCGACGGATAAAGGGAGGACGCACGCTCGCCCGAGCCGTACAAGCCCGGGGAAACCTTTTCCCCCCTTTTAATGCCGAGAGGCCGAAAACCGATCGAAGGTTCCTTTTCGAGGACGAGCTACGCATCTACGATACTACGTACTATGCCGAAACGGAACGGTCCAAGGGGGATCCGTTCGTAAATCTCCTCGATTAACCCCGTGGCCGCGTCCGCGTCCGCGTCCGCGTTCGTGTCCGAACCGCGTGTTTCTCTCGATACCCAACTAACAGCGAAACATGCGCGCGGTTGGGAAAGGTCGCGATTCGCCGATTCCTTTTGCGGGCCATTTCCGAATCGATCGAAATCGGCGCCGCGAGGAGGGGGGCGTTCACGATAATCCAGTCGATCCTCTCTCGAATTCTCCGTTACGAATAATAAACTCGCCGACAAAGTGGCCGACTATCCCGGCAGCTGAGCGGGGATCAGGCATAGGCGCCTTCCACGAACCGCTTTTTTCCGTTTCGACCTTCCACGCCGTAAAAGGAGAGCCGAGTTCTCGAGGAAGGACGACCGCGCGAGGTTTACGCGACTCTGCTAGGCCGTTCGGTTTTACGGTTCCTCGATAAATCGATTTTTTCCTCGGAGCCTTAAAATCCGTCCGATGCGCGGCCGCTTTACGACCGCGACGCCTAGACGAGTCTTCGTGCACCCTCTCGACCTCGACACGGACCACTGATCAAAACTCTCTTTCTCATTCTCATCGGCTAGCCGGAGCATCCGACTGGAAATTTTCCTGCCTACCAGCCGGGCCTGCCTCTCTTCCGTTTCTCTTTGTCCCGTCCTTGGGGCCACTCGCATTGTTTTCCGGTCCAACGATCGCGACCATTTTACGCACCCGCTAAAAGTCATCGAGCTCTCTCCATTTTCGCGAGAGCGCGTCGTAGGTAGCGTCGAGATCCCGTAGAGGGTTCGCGGGATATTCGAGCTTTCCTCCGTGCATTTCGACGACCCACGCACAACCGTTCGCCTCCCCTTGCGTCCGGTTCTTTCGAAAGGGGATGCCAGATCCAACCTAACCCGAGCCGAGCCTCCTTCCGACCTTTTTTCCCTCCGACTTTTGCCGCAGCCAACGTTCAACGAGAAACCTTCCACTTTATTCGTAATGACGACCTTTGCGTTAACCACCTCGTATGTGCCTACGTAAGATCGGTTCGGTTCGGTTCGTTTCGGCGGAGGGACTCTTCTTTCCTTGCGCGCCTCGTCTCGTTCTCGCCTCCCCGCCTCTCCCCTTCGCATCCCTTCGCTTCCCTTCGCGTCCCTTCGCTTCCCTGCCTTCGCCGCGCCTAGCGCTGTCCTTTCTCTTTTCCGCGACCCGGCTCAACGATCGAGAACGTTGACCCGTGGCGCGTGGAAGCACCGCGTTACCTTTGCCTCTTCTCCGACGGAGCGAGAAACCACGGGAAATAAACGTCGACGTCGAAGAGAAAAGGAAGTTGACGCGGCGATGCGCGCTACCGTCCACGCAGCTACGCGCCAATCTCCCGACGCACGGGTATTTCCGCTTAGCGTCGAACCTCGCGTTCGAATCACGCCTGACAGGCTTGCGCCTCGAGTATCGAGTCTCGAGTAGACTTTCATTTCCCCGAACCGAATCCACCGAACGTGTACGCTCTAGACGAAACGATTAAGGGAACGCGCGCAACCGAGATCCTTCGGAGAAGAATCGTGAATGTGAACGAGCGGCTCTTTAGCTTGTCTCTTCCGTTCGTGGAAACCAACGCCGTCTAATCTTGGATGAGTGCGACGGCCACGACGAAGACGACCGCGACGATGAATCAAGCGTGTGGACCAAGGGCGATGCGTGCGGGTATATAGCTTATTATTATACATATGTATTATACCAAGCTCGATGCGACGGAACATTTCCAATTTCCAGATTAAGTTTCAAGGCCAACTGGCCCGAGAGGAAGTAAGTGGTTTCGAGTAGCTGTATAACGCGCATGTTACAGCTCCAAACGTATCGTGGTTATTATCCGGAAAAAAGATTCCAAAGTATTTCGATCGCGTTGAGTCGGGTCGGGTCGTTTCGTTGCGGTCTGTCTGGCCTGACCTGGCCTGGCCTGGCCGGCGCGGCGCGGCACCGGCGGTCGATGCGATCGAAAAAGGAGGAACCGCGACGAAAGAACGAAGGGATTCGAGTACTCACGGGAAACGCAATTAGAGCAGAACTGCTCGGTGTTACAAACAACTTTTAGGCCAGAGACGAACGCGTTTCCCCGTGTCCTGCCGTCGCTTCCGTTCGGTTTCGTTTCTCCACCTCTACCTACCTCCGCTCCAGTCTTTTCGGAACGGAGACTACCGATCGCAGATCCCGTTGCACGCTCTTTCCTCCTGGAAACCCTCCAAATTGCCCACGTCGAAGACGCCGCGCCGTTTCTCGCTTCCTGTCTCCCAGGTAGCGCCCTCGGGTGTACAGATGGCAAACTAAACTCGAAACCGTCTCGACCCCTTTTATCGACGCTCGCTACTGCCTTTCGTAGAAATGAACTTAAAACGCGATCCATTCTCCGAACGTATGATCGTTGTGCTCGGAGCCACGCGCACCAGAGAAACGGATCGAAAGGACGGTGCGCTCGCGTTTATGCTCGATGCGACGCAGAAGATCGCGCCGCGCGAAGGTGAAGAGAAACGAACGTGCTTGCTTGCGTGTTGTGTTCGGGCCAACGAACAACGGTGGCCTCGGTTTCAGGGTCGTTTCGGCTATTATTCGCTTGCACCGACTTACCTCGCCTTCTCCTCGCTCGCATCGTTCTCCCGCTTCCCTTCTTCACGGCATGTCCTGTCTCGCACTGTCTCACCATGTATATAGCTATATAGTAGTCATGCTTCCTTTCGCCTTCTTTCGTTTCACCTAGCCTCCGCTCGCATCTCTTCGCGTCCCGTCCCATGCCGTCCCATCCCGTCACGCCTTTACCTTGCATCGCATGACTGTCCGTCCGTATCTTCCTTTCACGATTACGCGTAAAAATCACGTTTCTCCGAATTCCTAATTCTTCTCGTTATATTATTCGTCGCGCGTAGCCGATACGTTTTTCTTCGCTAGAGTCGTTAAAAGCGCGCGCTCGCGCTTGCGCTCTCGTTCGCGTTCCATTTTTATCCGTACATCACGGCTATTGCGTTTTACGTTCGATCAGAGTGAGCCGATTGACGACGGTACCCTGAAACATACTCCTCGCGACTTATCTCGAATCGCGTTTTTACATATTGTACGACGCAAACAAATTTCTCCTCTTTCGTCCTACGAAAATTACGACCGCGCGCCGAAAACTGAGGGCGCCACTGTCCAACCTCGTTGCGTCTATATGTATATGTAAGAAGTAGTCGAAAGATAATGGTTGCGTTTCCATGATCGACATTAGCGCGACATCTACCAGAGGTAACGGAGGTAAAAGGATGGCGAAAGGGTGAGGGTGACGTCGATGAAAACTAGACCAATCGGAAAGAACCACATGGTCGAGCTGTCGAACGGTGTATCGCGTCGCTTTTGGCCGAATTTTCGCAGATTTACGAAACGCGTTGAAAACATTCAGGAGTATGTTGCGACTGATTGATCGAAAAGAATTTATCGTCGTTGGATTGTTGGCGGAAACACGATGTTGGCGTCACGCGAAAAGCTCTGGTACGCGTTCAACGAGGAGAAACTCGTCTACGTAAAGAGGAAAAACGAAGAGAATGGAAGCGCTGCTATGACGGTGAATCGGGTGGTTGTGCTTCTGGGTTTCGTGTCGGGAGTCGCGGTTGCTGTCATCGGCACCTTATTGTCCCAATACATTGCCAGTTTACCCAAGAATTCACCGAGTAAGTTTCTCCTACGTGAAATCGATTCGATTCCGTTCCAATCTACCATCCCCTCCCCGGTCTCGCATAACCTCTAACGGTAGTCTTCTTTCTCGTTGTCAGATCACCAGGATTATCGGCATGTATTCATCCCGCTTCCATCGGAGGGCAGGTTGAACGTGTACGAAGAAGCTACTCTAGATGTGGCATTCCCGAGCGGTCACCTAACCCGTCAACTCGAAGTCGAAAACAGCGCGGCGTCCACCGCCGAAGCTTTGACGTCTTTGTATTTGGCACTGGAAATGAAGTTATCCGGCAAACAAAAGAAAGCGGTGAAACTGTTTCAACACGCGGTGGCTTTGGCGCCCCGTCACCCGGATATCTTGAATCATTACGGCGAGTTTTTGGAGCACACGCAGAACGACGTTATCAAGGCGAACGAGTACTACGTGCGCGCGTTAACTTATCAACCGAATCACGAAGGAGCGTTGATGAATAGTCAGAGGACGGCTCGGGTGGTGGAAAAGTTGGACCGACGGATGCTCCGGCGTATAGATGAGAAACGAAACGCGTTATCCGCGATACCTGATAACAACGCGGCGTTGATCCGTGCCAAGAAGGAGGCTTACTTTCAACACATTTACCATACTGTTGGCATCGAGGGGAACACCATGAATTTAGCTCAGACCAGGGCGATCGTTGAAACTCGTACCGCGGTCGCTGGTAAGAGCATCGACGAGCACAACGAGATTCTCGGCCTGGACGCTGCGATGAAATATATCAACGCGACCTTGGTCAACAAGGTGGGATCCATCTCCATCAAAGACATATTGGAGATTCACATGCGGGTTTTGGGACACGTCGATCCTGTACAGGGTGGTCAGTTTCGACGGACTCAAGTATACGTGGGTGGTCATGTGCCTCCCGGTCCCGGGGACATACACTACCTTATGGAAGAATTCACGTTGTGGCTCAACAGCGAGAGAGCTATTCGAATGCATCCGGTCAGGTAAAAGAACTCTTCTCTTATCATCCTTCTTTACTATTTTCCCTTACCTTTCTCCCCCGTACAGATACGCTGCTCTGGCGCACTACAAGCTGGTACACATACATCCGTTCTCCGATGGAAACGGTAGGACGTCCCGTTTGCTTATGAACATGATCCTGATGCAGGCTGGTTATCCACCTGTTATTATTCATAAGCAGCATCGGCACACGTACTACGAGAACCTTCGAATAGCAAATACCGGAGATATCCGACCGTTCGTTCGATTCATAGCAGAGTGTACCGAACAAACGCTCGATCTGTTTTTGTGGGCAACTAGCGAGTTTTCGAAGCAAGTACCCGCCCTCAGTCAAGATACCCTATTTACCGAGAGACCAAGTACAATCGCCTTGGAGGACGATTCCAGCGGCACGGGCGACGACGACGAGGACGACTAAGGCTAAGATTAGTGCCCGAGCTATTATTTTCCTAAACCAAAGATTCAGATAGGAGCTACACCGCGCACAGACATCCTCTTTCCTTTCATTTACCTTCGCGATGTACCTTTTACGATTCGTCCAGAGCACCGCCAATGTTTCCAATTTCAAGAGTATCACACTTCGTCGACCATTCTCCCAAATTGTAATATGCTTCCACGTATAGTTTCCGTTCCCTTCTATCCTATACGCGCCAAAACAGTCGACACGCAAAAACGGCGAACAGTGCGAAACTCGATCCAAGACTGTGATCTAACGTAAGGTATTACAACGAAAGATGATGTATATTTAAGTAGGCAAATTTTAAACCTCGTCGATATCGTATCTATCGTACGTATCGTGGATATATCCTGTATATATTTATCGAGAAACGTGCAGTCGCTACATGCCGATCAAGTTACTTACCATGTAAATAATTATTATGTAAATATATCTATAAATATATATATATATACTACGCGACGTTTAATAAATCCGTTATTTTGTAAATCAGCGTTGGTGTATATTTCTTTTACCGTCTTGTTATTCTATACAAATTTACGCAAACATGTTTGTCGGTACGTTAAACGGACCCGCCATTCAATCGATCGTCGTTTATTTTTCACGCAACAGAGATTTTTCTCGGACGCGCATGTGCTGCGAAAGAGAAAGTTGTAAGTGTAAAGCTCTTTCTCTTTTCCGCTTCTGCGGAAACGTTCTTCTCGTCTCTTTTCCCGCCAACCGATCGAATTCGCCAACGAAACACGTGTGAAACGACATGCCGCGTTCGATGTTGCGCGATTCGATAATAACAAGGCAAAAGAATATTGGACGCTCCACTTCTACGAAACTTTAATTTTTTTTTACGCCTAATAAAACATTATCGACGTTTCGTCGGAGAAAGAAACGATACAGAGATAATACGCACCGGTTTCAAGCGCGTTCCATTAAAATATGTATCACGAGTGAACAAAATCATTGCGTTCTGGTTACGCTAGACGTGCAAATTTCTCTTTTTATATGCAATATAACGATGTAGTTTTAATCTATATAAATACACTTCTATAAAAATCATATTTAGCCAACAGCGTAAGTTGACGATCTATCATCCTTTGATCTTCTTTTCTTCTCACATCCGTTCTCTCTTTCGTGCGTATACATCTCTCTCTCTCTCTCTCTGTATATCTATCCCTCTCTCCCTATCAATCACCTATTCGTAGTACTCGGGGTCCGTACGACGACGTTCGAGACGGTCGGTTCGGCAAGAAAGGTGATGTATGCAGTGTACGCTGCGAACATTCTCTTTTCCGCGAAAGAAAAGGGTGAGAGAAAGAGTGATTACGAAAGGAAGCGATAGCGAGTAGGTGAACACGTGTTAGTACATCGACTTCCGACACTTAAAAGGAAAGGAATGTAAAATAATAAGAAATGAAAAAAGCGGTCAGCGTAAAAATGTCTAAAAAGAAAGAAATGTTCGAATAGTACAATCGAAAAGATCGAATCGAGCTTAGAGCGGTAGAGTAATATTAATATTTTCTTAATAACTAACTATCGTATTCTCGAAATCAGTCATTTGGTTCGTTAGGAATACGATGTGCGTAGAAAATGTCGTTGCAGCACGAACATTCCACCCATCCGATACACACGGCTTTTATCGAGGTTGCTTTTTCTTTACCTTTTTTTCCTCGAAAGCAACACTGGACACCGCGATACCGAATGTCTTTCACTAGCGATATATTCTCTGAGAAAGATAGTGCGCGCGCGTGTTGTCGGCGGTACAACACCCGTTTGGCCGTAACTGAGCAACTTATGATTTCGGTAGAAAACTAAATTTACGCACGAACAGAGACGACGATTACGACAAGAACGATCTATCAAAGGCCACGGATCGAGATACCTGTTTAAGCGTAGTAACGCGAAACGCGAAACGCGTCAATGAAAAGAGTAACGTTCGCACGCGTACGTTAATATGTTATGCTCTCTTAAAAATTCGATCCAGTTGAAATTAGGCAACGAAAATTAGGCAATTGAAATTGGACGATTGACGAGAAGGCTTTCCGTCTCTAATATTTCCAACGAAAGACGAAGGATCGAAATGTTTGTTTAAAAGAAGGAAGGAAGGAAGGAAGGAGAACTTGTTTCACCGTACGTACACACCATACATCCATAGACGCACACATACAATAGGATACAGACGCAACATTCAGCAGCAGCAGCGGCAGCGGCAGCAACAACAACAACAATAGGCAGTCATACGCACGTTCATCGATTTAGTCGCACCCAGTGAGACTTATCTACCGATTATTTATCATTTCGTCGTCGTCTCTCGCGCTTATTTAGAAACCGATAGAATGGGAAGGTATGGGTGGATTCGATCGCAAACATAAACGCGTGTGAAAGAAATAGGAGGGACGAAGGGAGAAATAGGAGAGGAAAGGCGGCAACTAGCATGGACGGGGATCTGCCGGCTAGAGCTCTCTTCGTCGGCTATCGACGACGGACCACCACCCACGGACAAAGTGACGAGAGATAGAGAGGGAGAGAGGTCGACGGTTTGAAGACAGCTTTTTCGTTTCCCTGCTCACTCTCTTCCTCCCAGCCTGCTCTCTTCTCTTCGTCTCCTCCTGCCCCACCCCTCCTTCATTAGCATTGTCGCTCTCCTTCGAATCGTCTTGGTCATTGTCGTCCTAGTCGGTCCTAGTCGTCGCCATAACCAGCAGATGTTTCTCTTCACGCATCATCCATCTTTCTGTGTCACGCGTAGGAGGATGCATCCAGGCTTAATTATACCGTGAATTACGAGTTCGCGTCATCTTCTGGCTGATCTGTTCCTCTTGCAACAGCTGCCCGCGGAACTGACTCACTTGGTCTATCGCAGCGTTCAAGATGTTGCGCTGCAGCACCAGTAGCTGCTCCCACTTTTGGGCATACTCTGCAACAGAGAATGCGGTTTGAATGCTTGGCTGTGCTATCTCTTGGTACTCGCGATGCCGAATGGAAGAGAAATCTGGTGAATATCTGCGTGTGAGAAGATAAGCAGGAATTTCGACGTCAACTGCCCCACCCGCGTCGACTGTTCCCTTCGAAACCAGAGAGAATACGCAACACGCCGCGGCAGGGTACACAATCGTTCGCTGCGATATAACGCATTACGTGTTAGTGCGTGTTCGGAGCGTGTTCGAAGCGTGTCGGTTAGGTGAAAAATATCCGCTCGCTTTCTCGTTACAGGCTAGAGTTAGTGCGGAGGAAACACAATATCGTTACATTAGCAATCCAGAAAAATAATATTTATTAACAATATCATCATGTGTGTTGTACACTAAGCGGAATGCACCTGCTAAAAATCGATCGTTCGGCGTTGGCTCGGGGTTGGTGGAAAGTGGAAAAGTAGCGCGGTTCTGTTGTGCCACGGAAAAAGGAAGAAGAGTTTACTTTGGCTCGTGGCAGAAAACAAGATCCGACGATACTAACGATAAGAGAGAGAAAAACAAAAAAAAAATTCAACTCTGTCCACCCTGCCGCGATGCTGCCGGTCCCATCCAATTCTTTTCATTTGCAACGAGTCTCGTTAAACTGTTAAACGATTCGAATTTACGGATAGCCTAAGGATAAATTGTGCGGCTAGTGTTTGTGATTGTTACTTTTTTTAGGGCTTCGATGTAAATGCATTGATGATGCTCCCGCGAATCGTGACTCGTACGAACGTGTAATTAGTTGAACTTTAGTGCGTATTAAGCAAGCAAGTTTCGTCTTTATACATGTATATGTATGTATGTATGTGTGTGTGTATATATATGATTGTGAATCGAATGAATTCGTACCGTCGGAAAACTGTTTTCTCTCTATCAGACGTCTACGCAACGAGAACCTCCTCAGGTTGGCCGAGTCAAACTTTGTTCTTTTCCGTCTCAAATCTGCAAGGGTTTCGTAACGTGTTACGTTCAAACGTGTCGTTAATGTTGTTGTTATTGTTGTTGTGTGGTTGGTGGTGGTGTTCGAGCCTTTGCATCCTTTTACGGGTAACTAGAAAGCAACGATGATTTTTGTGCGGCAAATGCGCACCACAAAAGCCTCGTATCTTGTTCCTATACATACATATGTATACCCCTAGACGTCCCTATTACGTTTAGCGAGATTGCTATTCGCTTCCCTAACAGTTCCGTTCTCTATAAAATCAAACTCGAATACCCAATCGAGTGGGTGAAAATAAAGAACGCGTTCGTTGGAGCACAGAGGGAGTTTATTGTCCGCAAACTGCTTCGACTATGTTGTCACAACATTTAGTCTAACGGGAGAAAAATAAAAAAGAAGTAAATAAAAGAGAAACTAGTTAAAGTTTAAAAAAACGGTTACCGAGGTCACAAGATAGGAAAATAGAGGAGGGATAATAGAAAATAATTGGGTGTGCGAAGAATGGCAGTGAACCAAAGAGATTTATCACTGTTGCGCTGTCGTTACGTACATGAAAAAGGCCACGTAGAGGCCGGGTAGAAACGTAAAGAGAACGATGTTTTTGAGAAACGAGAGTAAAAAGTTGCAAAGTTTGAATGTGTACGAGAATAAGGAAGGGCGTGTTTCGTCGTTTCGGCGGAATCTTTTTCCACTTTCCAAATACTTCTCCTCGATCGTTCCGTTTCGCTCTCCACAAGCCGCAGTCCAATTCTCCTGCGGTATGTTGAAGTGGTCTTTACGTTTCGCCTTTTCGTTATTCTCGCTACTTTCGTCGCACAGATTGATTTTATTGTAGCAAAACAGTTTCCTCTTCACCGCAGCCTTCTCCTCTTGGAACGCTCCCAGGTTGTAATTGTAATCGTTCTGATCAACGACGCGCTCGCGATCGTTATCAGCCCCGCGGAACGAGTGAAACGCTTCGACTTGACCCCTCTTGTCACGGAGGGACGAGTATTTTTTCACACGGTCGTTGAACGTGCCGGACCAGTGGTACTTTTGCGTTCTCTTTTTGCCAACGCTGCACCGTTTAAATGGTTGCGAGCGACTCAACGAGGTCCAGCGATCGTTTTCCGAGCGATCCTCGATACACGACGAAGACCTTGCATAACTGGTGTTTACCGTGACGCGGAACGCCGTTCGAGCAACGCTCGACAACGACTCGCAATCGGTATCGCACGAACTGCTGTCGCTTTTACAACGTTCCATCTCGTCTCTCCAAGGGGACCTTAACGAACTCTTTGTCCTCGCGTCAATGATCCTATTTAGATCGGACCAGGCGTCACCGTCCAAAGCGTTGTGGACACGGTCGTGCATTGGCTCGGGTATCCTCGTTGATGTTGCCGTCGTCGTCGTCGTCGTCGAGGTGGTCCTGCCATCTTCTATGTTCCGTTTTAACAGGTAGCCAGCGGCGTTTGCCTTACCTTTAGCGCGTGAATCTGTCGCAAAATTCCACATACACAATAACGCTTGGAATTCCATGGTTTTTTCTTCTCTTTTCACCGTATTTATTTAATTTTCTGCCGTGGGGACACGTATATTTATTCAATTTACGCGCGTCGTTTCCTCGAAACTGCGTACGCAGTATAGTCGATCGACTAGACTTTTCGAAAGGAGAACGAAACAGACACGACGAGGCGGAACAGACATGCGTTATCGAATTGTCGAAAGAAAAAAAAAAAAAAAAAAAAAGAAAAAGAAAGAAAGCGGAAGAAAGAGACTAGAGATAGAAAAAGAACGATTACGTAGGGGCATGCAAAAGAGTAGGAACGTGTTGCGTGTGTCGGAACAAGAGGCGTGAGTAAAAGTTGCAGAATCCTCGAAATCGAAACGAAAGATGGAAAAAGAGGAAATGCGCTGGTGCTTGCAATGTATGCATACGCGTGTAAAACTCTAAACTGACGATTCGTAAAGACGGAGTACGAGGACACGTCTGAGAGTCTTACCTTCTTGGTCATAGTCTACTTCGTGGGTCGCGGTAAATACGCTTTGCGCGCCACTCAGAAATCTGGTCGTATTCTCTATGACCATTTTGTGCGTGTCCAGAACTTCCTCTTCCAGCATTTGTAGCGCCGACACTGCTTCGTGGAACGTGTAGAGGTCCTGCGAAATCTCGCCCTCCTGACGAAGAGAAGGACGTGCGAACAGAGGATGAGATGAAAGTACAACAAGGAGCAATCTCGGTCGAACGGTATTTCTAAACGATTCCAACTTACGTTCAGCGATCGAAGTTGGGCCAAATCACTGTCCGACAACGCGCTGTCGTTCAGCTGTTCTTCTATCTTCAATTCCCGTTCGTCGTCGGTTGGGGAAACTTTCACTTCCGTCGGATCGGTCGCAGCTAGCTCTTTCACCCTGTCGGCGTATCTGAGGGTGTTGAGCGAGTGCTCGCAGGAACTCATTCCCGGACTGATCATTGCTATCTACGAACGGGCAATTATATCGCGAATAGTTTCTTTTCACAACAGGCAACTGGAGAATTTCAACGAATTACCATGCAAGTTTTAGATTTTTCGCCGATGAAGCTGTCCCTCAACACTTGCGTCAGCTTGCTGGCTCTGAACGGTAAATGCGTACCCTTGCGACTCAACGCACGGATGCATTCTTTAAGCGCTAACAACGACTTGTTTATCTCGGCTCCTTCCATTCCTACGAACAACGACGGTTCGGAAGCGATGCAGGGTAGGGACCAGGAGATTTCAGATCGATCGAAAACTTACGAGTTTGTCTGTTGGCGGACGACGTGTCCGCTCCTCTTTCGTTACCCGCAAGATCGATCAGAGAGAATTTCCCGTGAACTTTGTGCGTGCCCGGCGTCCGCGCTATGATCTGAAAGACCGCGTGTGATCGCGATGAGTTCGAGTTGGCACTGGTCTGTCCGCTGGTCCTGGCACTGTTCCCGTGCTGGATCAGCTTCAGCACCTCGTCGCAAGTCTCCACCACCTTCTCCGTCAATCCCACTATTTGTACCTGCGGCATGCGAAATGTGGCAACGTTAACACACGTGCTCTCTTGGGTCGAAGAAACGAAATTCGTACGTACCTGTTGCTTGCCGTCTTCCAACACTCGAAGCTTCTCTTTGTTGGCCAACAGATCGAACACCTTGCCGGAATAGATTTCGAAGAAGCTGGCGGAAATCACTAGATTCAAAGGACGGTACTTGGAGAGCGTGAGACACTTGAATACGTCCTTGGCCACCATCGCGTATATGCCTTTCTTGCAGTCCTGCGTTTTCCCGTTAAAGTCACCGCCCATGGTGTGAGTTTTTCCGCTTCCCGTTTGCCCGTAAGCGAAACACGTGGCCATTCCACCCTCGAAGATAGTCTGAACGAGAGGCTTGGCGGTGTACTTGTAAACGATCTCGTTGGTGCAGGTTTCGTCGAACGCGTAATCGAATCGAAAAATTTGGTTCTCCAAATATTTGGTTAGGTCTACTTTTGCCTTCGGCTCGTGAACCACCATCTGGTCCTTGCTGGGCACGCTGATCACGTCCACCTCTTTCCGCGTCACCTCTTTCTTGTTCAACGGACGTTTCCGCACGCATACGGTGATCTGATGATCCTCCACGATGTCCGTTTCTCGCAGAGGCCTGAAGTCTATGCTGTTTTGATATTCCCTGCGAACGGAAATGGACGTTGTTGGTGGTGTCGGCATCGTAAGGAATGGACGAATCGACTGACCTTATCATAGCGAGAAATTCCCAGTTCGGATTGCCCGGGTCCAAATTCATCAGAGCTTCCTTCTCTTCTTTCAGCTCCGCCTGCCGTTGTCTCCTCTCCTCCCGGTTCTTCTTCAGCCTCTCGACCTCTTTCACCACGTTCGATCGTCTACCTCGTCCGTTTTCAACCTGCGTCTGCTGCTGTTGTTGCTGCTGCTGCTGCATCAGTTGTTGCTGCTGCTGCTTCTGTTTGGCCTGTGCTGCGGCGGTCAAATTGAAGGAAGCGGGCGTCGTAGTTGGAGTGGGTATGGTGGTTATATTCTCGAGCTCGAGCCTGCTCGTTGCCACTGTGTCTCCGTGGCCATTCACGGTGCTGCCAGGTGGCATTATGTTGGTCGGTCGACCCGCTTGTCGCGGCAATTGTCTGTTGGAGCCGGCTGCAAACGATACATGAGTCGCGAGAACCGTCCAAGAGGATTCCGACGGAATGGAGGGTAGCGAATTCTTCTCCACCCTCGAGTAGCAAGTTCGAAGGGAACGATCGCGCGGTGGTTACCGTGTTTAACTCTCTCCTCGATGTTCGGCTCCTGGTCGATCTTATTTCTCTTCCCGAAACAGTAGCTCAACGGATCGAACCTCATGACGACGAACACTGACCGCGAGATTTCGATCGCGAATCGGCCGCGTTTGCGGGGGAAATAGAGAAAGGGGAGGGGGCTCGGAGAAAGCGAGCAGCGCGCGACGTGGCTGTTCTGTCCAGTAAACTACGACGTCGTCGTGCATCGTTCGTCGAGGTCCTTGCCCTTGCACGCTTTTGCATACGGCGCAGGAGCGTGGACGGCGAACGCTCGGAGAAGCCAGGCCACGCGCTCCTACAACCCTGCCTACCTATTTACGTTCGCGGAAAATCGATTCGTTCCTAGACTCACCAATCCTATTTACGATCGCGACATTCCCGCTAAACCCCGCCGCGGAAATTTCGAGGGTGGGAAGCTTATACTTCCACGCGACGTACCTTTCACTGGAATCGATGGCTTGGTAGAATGCTGCAAAAAAAAAAACAGAGAGAACATATCGCAACGTCTTCGATCGGTGTTGTAAAGCTCGCTGCTTTATAACCCAATGATGCTTGAAGAGGAGAAAAAAAAGACGACAAAATGAAAGAGAAAATCATAAAGTGGGTGAAACGTTGGTCGACAGCCAAGTGTACGGGAAAACGGGTGAAACGCGTTGATCGAAACGCTGTGTCGAGAAATGTTGGTGGAAAAGAACGTAACGTTGTTTCATCGCAACCGGGATGAGACGCGTGAGAATGATCAAGCGGAGGAAATGGCAAGACATGTCGTATCGAGTGCGATCGATGCCCGGAACGTGGGAGGAACTAGGGAAGCGAACAAAGAGTGGAGGAGGAGGAGGAGAGCGTGGGATCGGCACGTTTACCGAAAGAGAAGAAATGACTCGTACAGGAAGCGTTGCGGATGCAAGGCCGTTTCTTGCGGCGTGACCACTGTGTCGTCCAAGGGAGCCTTCCTCTTGGTTCTCCGACTCGTCCAACCCCTCGTCCTCTTCGCCGGAAAAGTCCTGCGTTTCGTTTCGAAGGATTTCGCGACAGAGAAGCGATTCGATTCGATTCGATTCGATTCGATTCGATTCGATTCGATTCGATTCGATTCGGGAGCGAGAAGAAAGGAAGGAAAAGAGAGGCGCGTCCCGGTAGAGATTGCGGAGACGCGGGAGGCGATGAGACGACGATGCGTATTGGGAGTTTCGATCGGTGATGATCCATCGTCGGCCCAAGTCCGTGATAATGAGCAGCGTCCATGGAGGAAAAAATATGTCATCGTGTTAGTAGCGGGAACGACGAAGAGACGTTGATCGTCGTTGCTCGATCGGTGCACCTTTCCCTCCTCTCCTCGTTGCACCGAACGAGCGAACGCAGATGACAGGTTGTACTAGCCATCGTTCGAGGCGCGCGTCGATCGTGTCGTGGTAGTGGTTCCGGTCTGGCTGTGGGTGTGTGTGTTGTGTTGTGTTGTGTGCGCGCGCGTGCGTGCATACGTTTACGCGCGCGCGTATGATTCCACTACTTTTTTCTCTTTACTTTTGTTTTTTCCGAACGAAGAAAGGAAGGAAGGAAGGAAGGAAGGAAGGAAGGAAGGAAGGAAGGAAGGAAGGAAGGAAGGAAGGAAGGAAGGAAGGAAGGAAGGAAGGAAGGAAGGAAGGAAGGAAGGAAGGAAGGAAGGAAGGAAGGAAGGAACGAGCGATACGTACCCTTGGTTTCGAGGGCATCGACCCGTCGCGACAATTGTTCATCTGAACAGGTGGTGGTCCCATGGTTTTCGGAGTCGTGAGGTCGGGATTCAAGGCGAGGATCGCGTCGATCTCCACCTGAAACCGAGGCGACAAAGTGTTCGTTAGGTGTTTAGGAGTTTCCTACCTCCCTACGTTACTACCTCTCTCTCCTTTCTCGAACCATTCTACGGTGACAGTGCGCTGTTCCCAATTAATGCCAGAGACGACTGCCGAATGGATGCGACCTGAAACGAGAACGCAACACGGCATAGTTTCGATTTCAGAGGGTAAACCCCGTCCTGCCGCGTGACCGTAATCGCAGACAATGCGGGAATCGATTGCTGTGACGACGGCTGTGACGACGGGGATGGTTCGATAAATGCCACGTACATATGCACTTATATGGATCGTTGGCGTGGGTGACTGGGAAGTTTAAACGAACGCGCGTTCGCGTTCCAACAGGGGTTGTTCGCCAGGGAGGCGGGGGAACGGAGGACGGATTCGTGGATGACGCAAGAGGAGATGAGACGAAAGGTAAGGTAAGGTAAGAATCTCGCGACGGGCATCCTTATAAGGTTGCGGCGCCCACGTGCGGCTCGACCACGCGCGGCTCGCTTTCGATTTCGGACAAGGCCTACGCGACGCGATCGCGATCGCGATATCTCGCGACGTCGAGATATTCTCGCTCCACGTCGTTGTTCCCGGCATTCCCGAGGCACCGGGGGGAACTGGAGTCGGCCACTTGTTGCGTTCCTCCGGCGAACGCGTCGTGCGCCGACACGCAACCGCCGCCTACGGTAAACGTTGGTATCACGGACGCACGCGACGCACGTCCAGATAATACGATTGTTTTCGTCGAAGGGACTACGTGGACGGGTGCAGGCTAGAAATCTATTATCGCGTGTATAACAGGTCCGAAATTGGGCGGGCCGTGTACGTACGGTAGGTAACTGTATACCGACTCTCCGCGACGGGATCTTTCGCCCTTCGATCGATCGCAAGCAAGCACAACACGACGCGACTCTCTCCTTTATTGGCCATAGTTCTGACTCACTCGTTCGCCGAGAGACGGAGACGACGAATAAATAAAATCGAAGGCGGTCCAGAGACATCGGTTTTCCCTTCGAGTCATACGTTGCATGCGAAACGAGGGCGAGGTGGCGATTTCTTCGAGGAAGAAAAATCGACCGTTGGTGTCGAACGTTTGAACAATTTCTAGGGGCGTTCGCGCGCAGCATTTGGAGCGCGTAAGAGGAACGCGATTAATGACTCGAAGGAAACGGTCCGGTCTGGTTGTACGAAAGAGACGCGTCGCCGCGGTGAAAGGATATCCGTCCCCGTCTTCCAGCAGCTGGATCGCTAGTACAGCGAACCGCGTCCGTCTAACCCCGTGCCCCAGAGCTTGTGCACCACATTTCCTTAGGATGTGCTGCGCACGAGCCCGGTTTAAAGAAACGAACGAAAGAAAACAAATATGGCTACGACGTGGGATACGTTAGCGTTGCCAGGCGAAACGCAAGGGCGATTATTTATATGTACATACACAGGAGGGAGCTGCGCGCAGGTGTACACGTACCGCGACAGTATAGCAGATAGCTGACCAACTATGTACTCGAGAATTAGGAGCAACGTGCCGTGGCAGCTAGTCGAAAGATGGTTCCCCGGTCGATTGTTCGTTGCACGAGAACCGAGACGCTATGTACTCGCGAAAATCTACGACACGACGAGCAACGTTTCCACGGGGAAAATGCCACATGCCGCGTGTTGGCACATGTGTCGCGGTACCGACGTAAAAGTGGTCGGTGGTCGGTGTTCGCGCCCCGTTATCCGTCCACCGCGATTCCACAGATAAACGAAATAAAAGGAAAAAGGGAAAGGCCGAAGCTAATTCTCTCCGTGCATCTCTTCGCAGTCGTGCTCGATTTTCGTTGGAACCAGACCCGCGATAGTTGGCGCGTGCGATCGACCGTCTGAAAAGGTCTAAAAATACTTCCGCGAGATGCGTTACTCACCGTCCGTCCTCTTGATATTTATGCTGTCGCCGGTCCCGATGTTGCACATACCGTGGTCCATGGTCATTTAGTCGCGTTCTCACGCCGTAGCTAACACTGTAAAACGACCGGTTCTTCGCCGAACTGAACACAACAACGACGACCACGACGACCACGACCACAACCGACGACGATGACGATGATGACGATATCGTGGTTGACGCAACGAGAACGCGACGATTCTCGCGAGAGAAGCCTTACGAGGAGTGTATAGTTCGCGAGACTTCCGAATTCGACCGTTGACAGTTACGGCTGCGTTCGCATTCAAAATCACGCGGCGGTGCTGCGTTCTTCTCCTCCGCCGTACTAGTACTTTTCCCTGGCCGTCACCGTCGTTGCTGCTGCTGTTCTGCTCTATTTTGCTCGTACGCGCTGTCGTAGTTTCCGTACCGTTCCTACCGCTGCTACTGCTGATTGTCGCAGTCGCAGTCACAGTCTCGCCGTTGCTGTTGCTCGCCGCCTCTCGCCGTTGTATATTTTCACGTCAGGGACGTCGCCGATCCGTCCAAGGCACGCCCGTTTTCCCAATTCTCTTTTAAACCGATACGTCGCGTATTCCGAGCGACAGCACGCTCTTCTTTCACCAAATTCAACGTACGCCAAAGTAAAGACACCACGACTCGATATTACATACGGAGATTCGTTGAATTTCACGAACGAGATGTTTCCGAGATTTTGTGCCGGGATACTGCCAGTGTCCGTTATTGACAACGGAAAGACTGCGAGCGCCAACTTTCGGTCGACCACCACCACCGCGACATCTATTACACTTCGTGTTTTTTGCCTCGGATAGCTGTATCCTTCTGCCATCTATCGGCCGCTCCAACCGTTACATTTTACGTCCGCCATTTTCTCCAAGAGAAAGAAGGAAGAAAGAACGAGCGGGAGATTGAATTTTCCGTTTAATTGCGACGTTTTATTCGAGAAAGATACATTTCGATTCGTCTGTGAAACAGTTGAGAAGAGTAGGCGTGGAATCATTTGGGAAGAACGGCTCGTCGCACCAGCGACTTCAGTTCCTTCAAATCGAAATGTTGGCCGGTTTCAAATCGATCTACGATTCGTTTCAACCTGAAAGCAACGTCCCGCGCGATTAGCAAAAGTTGGCGTTCGCGTTCGCGTGCGCGTGCGCGTTCGCGTCACGGTACGTGAAAATCGTCTTACGTCTCGAAGCGTAGATGACTGGTCGAGGGTAGACCGCCTCGTTTGATCTTTTCGTATACCTGCGATCAGATTAATCACATTTTCTATCGGGTATTTATTGAAACACGTTGTCGAAACGGATCGGATCGTTCTAGACTCTAGACCTACCTCCAACGCTCGTTTAACGACATCTTCGTCCAATTCGGATATTCTCGCCACGTGATGCGCGAGACTGCGCGTGGCGCTGCCATTGGTCAGTCGATAGAGAAAGGCCACCGATTCGTCCTCGTTAATCGTGTATTCGAACGTCTGGAAGAGTGGAGAGGAATTTCGGTGGAACGGTCCTGAGAAGAACGATTCGTTAAGAAAGTTTCGTCACCTGACACTCGATCAAAGATGATCGACGGAGAAACGGGAGCACGGTGTATGCGTGCGTAGCGACAAACACGTGAGGGCAATCGGCGCCCCTTTCGACGAACGCGTTCAAAACGGCCGCGACCAGCGAGAATCCGCTCGTTTCGGACGTTCCTCTGTCCAATTCGTCCGTTATCACGACCGAGTTGGGCGTGGATGCGCGTAAAGCAACGTTAATCTGAAATACGAACGTTTCTTTCGTTTGGTCGGCCCATCGAGCGAGTAAGGCGACGAACCTACCTGCCGAACATTCTGCAGAAAGGAGCTCGCGTTTAGTGCGATGCTTTCGGTGTTGGACATTTGGGTTAGGATATGGGTAACTGCCCCTATCGTGGCGGATGTTGCAGGAACGTAAGAACCTATGTGAGCCATGAATACGATCAGTCCGATTTGTTTCAGATACACGCTCTTGCCGCAAGAATTCGGTCCTATTAAAAGTTTGATCAAGCTGTTGCCGTTGCCAGAGGAAACGTGGTTCGGGACGAAGGTGGTGGCGCATTCCATCAACGGGTGACGTCCCTCGGTCACGTCTAGAATCTTCGAATCCGTTACGTTCGGTCTGGTGTAATTATAATCGCGCGCCGCTTTGTAGAACGCGAGTAGGCTGCAACGGTGGAGCGCGCTATAATCACTCCTCCAACGATAACGGTTCTACTACTCTCTACCTACGTGTCTAATTCGGCGCATAGTTGAATCGCCTGCAAAATTTTTCCGGTATGTTTCCTTACGTACCGTACCAGCTTTTGCATTATATGATTTTGCCGCACGGCTATCTTCAACACGATATCGCCCACGGTCTCGTCCAGTTCTGCAATCGTTCGCGATCAGAAATTTCGTCTTGCGACTCTTACGCGGAGGGGAAAAAAGAGACCTTTGGCCGAAGAGCTTTTGTAGTAGTGCACCTGATTGATGGAAAACTTGAATTCCAAATTTGGCAGAGTAACGTCCTCGGGTGGAGTTGGATTCCATTTGTTTATCGCTAGAACGTAACCGATGTTTGGTAGATACAACATATTGCATCCCGTGACAGAAGGCGGAAGATGTTCTCGCATATCTTTCTCTCCCATTCGCGTGAGCAATTCGGGTAAGGTGCGTCGCACGTGATCCACTGGCAAGGAAGAAACGCGTTACGATGGTATACGTGGAAGAAATACCTGTGTATGTATTATTATATCAATATCAATAAATAGGCACGTTCGTCCAGGAGAGGATCGACGTTGGGTCGAACTACCAGCTTCCCCTCTCGCCTGCTCTCGCCGAAATCCACGATATACTCGATAAAGTACTTGACGTATTGCATCTCGGTGGTCACGCTCTCGGCGATCCGCTTGAATAACTCTAATTGTTCCGCGTGTTCTTCGCATATGTCAGCGATAGAAATTAGACGCGAGACGGTCTGAAAAGTAGATCGAGGTAAAGAATGTAAAGAAGGTAAAGATCGGTAGAGGCAGAGGTAAGTACCTTGTGCACTTTATACCAGTTGGATGCTTTCGCTTGAGGTCCGGAGCAACAGGTGAGCACGGCGTTGTTCAAACGATAGACCTGTTTCAGACAAGAGGATAAATTTTCCACGACACTTTGGTTGGTTGGATCGAGGAAAAATTCCACCACGTTGAACCTATGCTCGAGGAGCGCGAGATTTCGCGTCGGATGATGTAGCGTCTTCCTGCGGGTACGAGAGAAACGATAGCCTGGCGAGGTACGAGAGAAACGATAAACCTAACCGCGAGATTTACCACAAGAACTGCACTCCGGGTCTCGAGTGGCAGTAACCGTTGAACAAGGAGAACAGGCTGACACCTTTCATCTTCGTCACCGTTTTGCCAAATTTCAAGAGACTCGGATGATCCGTGACTTGAACGATATTCAACGCCTTGTAGCTATCTTCGTCCATCATGACCAGATCGTGGCTTGGTATCGTTTTGTAAACAGCACCGTTGTAATACCACCAAATACATACGTATATGTATACGAAATGTATAATATGTGTATCTAACATAATACGGTGGTGGCGGACTTACAGCCAGATGTAGTTTAACGATACGAACGACGGTTTCCCGGAGGGATCCAACGCGATGTTGTTCCAGTGTTTATCCACGAAGAATAAAAGCGAGCCGAGCGCGTGGATCATCGCGCAACATTTGAAATTGAGTATGCTGTTCAAGAAGGTTCGTCTGTCCGCGTTGCTCGCATTCTTCGGCTCGGATTCCAGTCGAAGACACTTCACCCTGTGAGCACAACGTTCGTAGTTGTGCTCTTTTCTACACGTTACTTTCAACTGGGCGTTACACGAATTTGTTTCCCCGTTCGACGACACTTGGCTCGTCAGTATCCTTTTTACGGCATTGGTAAAGGCAGCGGGCGCGGCAGCGCTCGTAACCACGTAACGCGGCAAACATTGTCTGTAGAGAGCTTTCATCTTATCCAAACGTTCCACGTCGTCCATCGTGTCCTCCATGACGAATAATTCCGACGTAACGATGTTGTAGTAAGCTGCCCCGAGGTGATTGCTATTCCAAATCACCGACAAAATCATCTACAAAATAAATAGGCGCGAAAATTTCATCACACACAGGCACGCGTACGCGATTGCACATCGAGTGACACGTGCCTCGTCTGTGTCTTCGAAAATGGCGTGTTCGGGTAGCTTGAAATCTCTCGCATTTTCTCTACTTTTCGATCGCGACATTCTGCCAGCTACCGTCCTCGATTCTTCTTCACGGTCGTCGTCGCTACTCTCTGACATTAAACACTCGAATTCGGTTGGTCTTGAAGGAAAAGAAAGAAAAAAGAAGAGAGAGAGAGAGAGAGAGAATAGGAAATGAGAAAGAAAGCAGGAGGGTGGCAATGTCGTAATAGGAAGATCGAAGAGTTACATGTGTACGCTCGAGCGCGTGGTTCTGAAAGTTTTGGATGTTGTGCTGAACGAATAGGCCACGGTAGTTGGGAGTCGTGGATCCATCTCGACATGATCGGTCGGTTGCATTTCGTGGAAATAATTGGCGAGCGAGATTGGTAAAGGAGCAGCGTAAAAGTCAAAGGGAGTACTGCGCATGCGTGGCAGCTTGACGGTGGTATAAGCACAACCAGAGTCAACGCAACAACTATTGCCGAGGTTGAAATGAAACGACGCGTTGTAACAACAAAATGTTATTTTATTCGGGTATATTACATATATACACGCTTGTGCGTTAGATTGGTTCGATGGTAGGAATAAGAAGAGTCAAGTTGGAATGGACGGAGGGGGTCGAGGGTTGAAGGAAATGGGCCTGTACGCTTTTTGTTTGGTGAAAGGTTGTACTCCGCTTAGTATAAAGTCGTGGCTAGGATTCCTGGGACGTTTGGTTGATTCGACCAGTGGCGAGTCCTCCTCCGAAGTTGCCGCGTCCTCGCTTCGCCGTGGACTACCGGACCTGCTTAACGTTCGTGCGTTCGTTTGTCTGCGTTCCACTTGTCTCACTCGTCCGTGGCGCGTTTGTCGAATCGACGCGACGCAAAGATTCAACCGATTCGAGAATTCGCGTACACGTTCCACGAAAATAAACGGATAGAAAAGGAACGAATGGATAGAAATTCGGTGAATCTTCCTGTCGCGGATCGACGCGCGATTAGCTTATCTTTACTGAAGCGTTGTTAGATGACTAGAGGCGTTAGGATTATTTTATACATGATGCCCAGCTTAAAACCTGCACGAAACGAAAATGGGACGAGGAACGATTAACGATCGTGGGTTGTGACAGAAGGCGAGTCGTCTCTCGTGAAAACGTTCCGCTTGCACATTTCGTGTTTCGAAGAGCAAGGA